CCTGATATTATGACCAATGAATCAAGTTAATTTCTAGCAATCACTTAAATAGTAGTGTAAATGCTGAATGTAAAATTAATCGACAAATCAACTTTTGTTGTTCATTGGAGTGGCCACTTAACAGTTAAATCAACTAACCTTAATGCGTTGGAAAACCGCTTAAAACAAAGCACAATAATCTGTGTACATTTGTGAGATTACACTGCACTGGGTTTTATGATAGACCTTGTTTCATTAAAGATACAAGTAAGAAGCTAATATGCCATAAGTCGTTGATCGTCTGAACTCAGAAATGCGTACATTGTGAGTTCGACTACATGAGAAAGCATTAGAGTCAAGTCAACTTGTGATTCCAGTTATCTCTCGGATGTCAGATAGGTAGCTTGCCCTTAACAACAACTCCCAGTTAAAAAATTTAATCAGTTGTTGGCAAAGAGACGTAATGAAACAACAAGGACACCAATCTATCTATATAGTGCACTATCTTCTCTCTTTGTTTTGCTTGTAGAGGATCTATTCTACATGAGTCCTGTGGTAGATCTCTCTTTCCATTGTTGTCAGTCGGTAACAAAATGGCTATATTCCAGCAATAAACATTTGGATCTTCACGATAATTTCCTACTAACAAGTAGTTGTGAATGTAGAAATCGCTTTTCCAAAAAAATACTAGTTGAAACTAGCATATTTAACAAGATAAAGTGGAACACAACTTGAGAAAAATAACACTGGCTTCTACTGTAAGGAGCAGAATTTCTATGAACTTTAAGCCTGTAAAAAGTATAGAATTAATAAAGGTGCAAATAACAAAACTCTTTAGGTGGTTCATTGTCTTGACATTAATAATTTTGTTACGGATTTGATGGCAAGTACTTGCATTTCACCATTTTTCATTTTAAAGGTACACTTACTGTTCAATTGGGTTCATGGATATTTAATTGTATGAATGAAATGAAAGGGTAGCAGATACACAGAAACAGAACTATAAGAAAACTCATTATTCAGTGTTAATCTACAATGTCAATAATAAATTTCCTAATTCAATACGTTGTTGCGATTACTTAGTATTGAAGGTACCCATATAACTAATCGACGCAGTATGTGTACAGAAATTTTTATTCATTATTTAGCCTTACTGTGATTGTAATTTCTCATAAATCAACCTGCTCTTTTCACTAATAAATATCTCCTACCTAATACCAACGTGACTTTTCTGCAATGTGCTTTCATAATTGTTATCTTGTTCTTACGATTATGTACATTAAAGTGAAACTTCATCAGTTGAGGTGGTTGGGACATGTGTTACGTATGGCTAACCACCGGCTGCTTCGACGAACTATGTTTTGTGGTATAGGAGTAGGTTGGAAGAAAACTAGGGGCGGCCAGATCAAAACATGGCAGAAATCCATGAAGTCACTGACAAGTGGACTGAGTGATGTTGGTAGATGTAGGCTACCTGGTTGGGGTTTGCGAGACGAGTCACCAATGGTGAGACCTTGAACGACATGGCTCAAAATCGTTTTCAATGGCGCAAGCGCATCCATTCTTTGAGCTCTCTCAAATCCTAATCTTCTGGATTCGTCAGCACCTCTATCTTTGTAACCTTATCTCACTGAATTATATTTCTTGAATAATATCTTCGAAACCCTAGTCCTCTTTGTTAACATTATTACCTCTACTATCTTTATCTCTATGGTATTTGATATTTGCGTCTCTGTGCTAATGTGGTATGGCAACATGAACTTATGTACATACGTACGAAGTTCTACGTTACAACTGACTGACTGACTATTCGTGTAAGCGATGACAACCAGCAGTTTGACATAGTCACTTTTTTAATTCTTTCTTCACAAAAGTGATTTCTACCAATTGTCAAGATACTTCAGTCGTTTTAATTCTAACGACAGAAATACCATTTACCTATCATGCGAAAAAATCGATTTGACCATTAAATCATAATTTCCGTACAATAAAGATATAGCATACTACTGACAAGTTGAAATTATTACGCACTTTGTTGCTACAAATGAAACATTTACTTTGGTAGTTACGAATTTTCTATACGCAGGAAGCCATACGACTATCGACCTAATAGTGGGCGGAGGAATGCCTTCACTGTCCACAACCAAACACTCCGTAGTTGAAATCCGATTACTGGGGAAAATATCCGACTGTCTTTAAACGGAGTAGTAAACACCAACTGTTTAGTGTATCATCTTCGGAAATGAAACTATATTCATCCTTTACAGATAACCATGTGATTTTTACCAAGTTATTACGCTGTCACAAGCAGCTATAGTAGCTGAGACGGGCACCAGTAAGTCCAACGCACTAAAAATGCCGTAAAGTAACGAGACTGACAAAGGCTCAAGCCAGATTTTTTGCTAGTCGCGCAATACATCCTGTTTATTAATTCACTAGTCTGGTACTATCTAGCGCATCGTAGCATTTACAGTGAATCGCATTATTTCATAAACGGTCACGACCAAATTTCAACGCTTTAACCTATTAACTAATAATCTGAATGCCATAAATAGTTAGTACGAACGCGTGCTACTTGCACTTCAACGTATAAAATCTGATAAACTAGTTATCACTATTACGAGAAGCATCCCGTTCAATATTGAATTTCGGAATGGCTTCAGGAATCCAAGGCTAAACAGTAATATCCATGAATATTAGAAGACGAATCCCGAAACACAACTCGTTGCTACCCATACCATCATCGCTGCTACCGAAGAGGAACGGGGTAAGGTGACCAATCACGGGTGAGCATTGGGAGGATTTTGTTTCGTACTAGTCGATGTGTGAGACATAGCTTGTTAAAGACAATCTATTCCGTGAAGCTTGTCAACACCGTAAATCAGATACATTCTATTAGCCTGCGGAATACTCTAACATTGTTGTTAGCATAGAGTAGCTTTTAGAATTTGTAGCCTAAAAGAAACTACCGATTTTTTGGCGTACTCACCGGCAATCCATATTTTGGCTCTAATAAAATTTGATCAAGACGAACTGGTGTTAATTAAGGAACTTTCGAATAAAGACTACCTATTAGCTCATTAACGAACGTTCAAGAACAATATAGGGTTGAAGTCAACTGTGATCTAACTGTCATACTGACATGACCTATGGGATTGGGATACATCGTTATTCTTTTAGTAATCGAACCATACGTATTCTAACACCTTGAAAGAACAGCAGATTAAACTTACATATAATAAGTACTTAACTACGAAGTCCTAATCTTCCGAGTTCGCCATATTATTTCTCAGATTTATTTCACTGATTCCTACTTCTCGGGTCATATATATTCGATCCGTAGTTTTTTCCATTACCGCTGACACTGCTACAACCTCTACTTCTGTATGATTTGATCTGACAATTCCATGATGTGGTATTAGCAACTTTACCCAATGTACGTACGCACCAAGTTTTACGTCTCAGCTAACTAACTGACAATTACGAAATGAACTAGTACTTGTTAAAACCAGTCAATAAATGAAGGTAACAGCCAACGCGAACCTAATATGATACTCAATATTCACATTGGATTTCGCTAGACATTTCATAGTTCATCTACTTAGAGATTGTCAATCGTAGCACGACTGGACTAATTACACTGACTGCTTACAAATATAACAAGACAAAGGATTCAGGAAGTCTTATAATGGGTATAGCACGGAGCCGATGTAAAGCATTACATCAGTGCAACTATATAAAACTCACAGTCAAAGAGCCGAAATGACGGTAGCTTTGTTCATATACGGTTTGAAGTGTATGAGTATGCAGTAGTAACGAGACTCATCTCTGTGGTGCGGCAACCCGAACTTATTTACTTACGTAGGTTATAACTGACGGACTAACTGAACGAAACTCAAAGCTAACAAAGCGATAATAAGTGAATATTTGCGCTACTGTGGTTGACGTTGAGCCTCCAGTCACTAACCTAGATTGTCTAGATGACGTAATTGGAGATCAGTACAAAAGCTAACAACAAGTGCACGGATAAACATTAGTGTCTCCTTCCTGGTTCGTCAAAATTGACTCATAATACACATCTTATCTCAGTACAGTTCACTTGGCTGTGTACCAGGGGACTAGGGAAATGCCTTGACTTGGACAATATTGACATAGAATACTCTTAATTAGACTGCTCATCACACATGAAAAGATTAAGGTAAAAAAACCAACAAACCGAATTGCTTGAAAGCAGAGGACTTGTTTGTTTGTTTTTCATACGTTTTCAAGTATTAAGTGTGTGTTCGTGTTTGTGTGAAGTGAAACACAAAATTTGTGCAGAACAAAAGTTGGTTACAACAGACTTAGTTAGTTAGAAGAACATCATAAATTATCATCAATTCTAAAAAGTGTAACACACAACACATCAGAGAGAGAGAGAGAGTAATATGGATTCACTGTCATGTCACAGAAGAGACAAGTGTGAAGAAAAATTTAATAATGAGCATTGTGACTTGACTATTAATTCTAGGAGTATAGACCCTTTTTTTTACATAGCTTTATAATATTTATAGATGCATATATATTTATAGACAGGTCAATTCTTTTGATTGTATTTGCTCAATTTAATTTATAATCCATGTGTGTTATTTATCATATTTATATAAACTGATAAAAAGGCTAGCAAGGCATTATTATTACTATTATTATTAGCGTGTCAGGTCATAGTCATTAATATACTTCGATTATAAACGAAGGAAGAAAAAAGGAACAAAAGTGGACATTTTAAATTTTGGAAAAAGAAGCTTGGTATTAGTAGTAGTTGTAGTAGTATAATATATAATCAATTCGCAAACAAGGTGCTTTTTCTTACATGAAAATGTTTTCTCTTACACAGACAGGCCACTACTATATATATATATATATGGATAACCGGATGAAACATGACTTGCAATCCCTATACTCTCTCAATACAGACAGGCTGGTTGTAAAGACACTGGCTAAAAAAAGGAATTGGACAAGATGATGATGATGATGAGAGATCATAAGAAGTAGTCCGGTGTACGCCTTGACACATGCGGTTCACCTCTACGTGGCGCGGGGTCGAACTGTAAACTAAACGTAACATAAAGAATACATATATTATTAATAACACGTGTTAAGCTATTCTTTTACATAGTAAACTGGTATATAATACCGTTAATTTCAGTAATAAATCTAAAAAAAGTTAGATACATTTAGTTACAGAATACTAGGTAATTGAGTGAGAACGTAGTCGAATTCATGTCTATGAATATCCACAGTGAAATGTAATGTAGAACCACTGTTTAATAAAGAGCAATTTGTGAGAAAATTAACAGTTTAATGTCCTCTAAGTGCTGTTTTAAAGCCACAGAATGATGGTAAGATAGCCCAAACTAGTTATCAGCAACACAGATACACTTTATAGTGGTGATTTGCGAAGTGTCACCTCACATAACACGTCAGTGATATGATGGAATTAGCCATACTATAGAAACAACTCTATGGTTTCATTGGACACACGGCTGTTTTTTTCAACTTATGTTGTATCCAATACGTCCAGGGACGAAGAATATTTGGTTCTATAAACCAAAATCCCATGAATATAGCGGAGTCACTTTTTTCCTATACAAAACTAGGCCTTTGTAAGCTGTTTATAGAACATTTTCATACCTATTAGTTTATGATATATGTTGAAATAATACTGACGTGCACAAGTATCTCAAGCAAAGTTTTACAGAAAACATTATCAAGCTTAGCGCGACTGAAGTGTGCTCCATCAGTTACCTGCAAAAACACTGTTTTAACTTCACTTGAATTAGTCGCAGGCAGAAGTCAGTGAAGCAACCACTTCGAAAAATCGCGATTCGTTGCTGATACAAATTTTATGTTATTTCTCTGGGTTTAAAGACAAAGGCTGGCTTAAGGAAACCTGGAAAACGCTAGCATTCGGCCTACGCGGGTAACCATATATTCATATGAAGTTGTTTTAAAATGTATGGAATTTTCTGTTGGGGACGTTAAATTCCCAGAACTCGCTTGATAAATGCCTTATTTTGGATTTCACATTTGCGAGCATGGGCTGATCAGATGGCCTTGAGATTTCATTTCCCAGCAGGAGAATCTTTGGCTGCTGTGTATTTTAGTGCTATTTTTGTGACTATCCCAAGGATGTTTCTATGATGGATAAATAAACGAGATTAATTGCATTTTGCTTGCTGGGTGTTGGTAGAATATACTTTTTACGCTATACCAAGATTTCTCTTTAGCCGTTTCGGATCAAGGTAACCTACCTGGACACTGGTTCATTGTCTCGTTCTAGTTTATCCACTAAGGTGATACCCGTAATAGTTTCAAGCATACTTAGTGTCGAACCTAACATTTTACACTCTTGGTTTTGCTCAATCTACCTACTTGAGCGTTAAAATCAACACCCCGTACTATTATATAAGAGTGCCAAGCAGTTTGAAGGTTGGAAAGCTTTTCGTAAAATTCACTTTTTACGTCGTCTGAGCTGCGATCTGTGGGAGCGTAAGCAGAAACAACGAAGAAGCAACGGCGAGTGTCCTTATCTTTCCGAATTCTTACCGTCCCATTTAGTTGGACAGTACATGAGTGACTATTTACTGGAGCCCAATCTACAAGTGCTAGTTCCGCTCTAGAGCTGAATGCTATACCTAACCCGAGCTAGGCCACGGGAAGCAGCAATGTGGCTTCCAGATATGCACGAAAGGTAAGTCATGTCGGTTCATTATAGCGACAAGGTGAGGTCAAATGAATGACTATAATCAGATCCTGTGTGCGCGTTTCCGGAAAGCAGAACACATCAATGGTGCGAGATTCTAAAGTTTGTAGTTAGGGAAGTCTGTTGTCCTATTTGGCACAAGGTTCGAACATGGAAAGCTCCGATGTATTTTAGAGTGGGCTTTCAGGAGACCAGGAATAACATTTCGTGTATTGAAATTATCATTAGCGGCAAGAAAGGTACATATGAGGGTTTGATCGTAGAAACAGTCAGTCAGTCAGATGCAACGTAGAACTTTGTACGTAAGTACATCAGTTCATGTTGCCATATCACATGAGCACTGAGATATAATTGTCAATTCAAATCTAAAAGTAGAAGAGGTAGTAAAGATATTAGGAGTAATCGGAGAGATTAGGATTAGAAGATATTATTCAAGAAATATGATTCAGTGAGAGAAGTTTAGAAAGTCAAAACTAGAGGGGTTGAAGAATTCAGAAGATTAGGATTTGAGAGAACATAAAGAATAAATGCACCGGCGCCATTCCAAACGGTTTTGAGCCATGTCATTCAGGGTCTAACCGTCGATTGTTATCATCATCGTATAAATATGAGAGCTATTAAGAGGAGCCGTTAGGTAGTTGACGGTGGAGGTCACTACCCAGCCGTCCACACAGTGGAAGAGTATTTCTTGAGCGACCTGAAAAGGAATTCAGGTTGGCGTTGGTCTTAGTGACCACAGAGACCAAAGGACAACTGTTTGAGGCTAGTCACGCAAGACATTTTAATGTCCTATTAAAAGGCCTTACCGTCCGAGACGGAAATCTATGGGGTAAGGTGGTGTCACATTTTTAGGGTCAACCTTTTGATTAAGTAACACCGCTGCAGATGCTAGCTGTTTGAGGCAAACACCTTATTACCGTCACAACCCTCTACAGTCAGCATTATAACTGCGCCCTGATGACTACGACAGAAATTAATGACATTTGCAAAGAATTTTTCAGTCCAAAAAGGAGTCACATCAGAGAAAACAGTAAATAATAAACTTACAAGTTATACTTAAGATTATCATCCAATTCCATTAAAGCTGCTTGATTACCGCATCGATAACAATAATTTGGAGCACTGAATATAGTCACGACATTTCGATCATGACACCAGTTAAAGCCTTCCATAACTAATTGATGTGCTCGACTAACTAAAGTCAAATTATTACTGTGGTTAAATGTTTCTGATATATCTTGTCCAAATGTATAACCAGCACCACGTGGACTGATACCCCAACCACCTCTATCATCTGGATCAGACCATAATAAATCACACATTGGACCCTGAGAAAAAGATTATATTTCAGAACAAAATAGCCATTATTTGATAAACGTAAAATTTTTCATTAAGTTGGACAGAAATATACTCAGTATATTTCGGTACAACAGTTTTAATAACAGATAACAGGAATGTATGTCAGTCAGTCAGTTGCAACGTAGAACTTCGTACGTATGTACATAAGTTCATGTTGCCATACCACATTATTAGCACAGAGACGCAAATGTCAAATCAAATCCCATAGTGATAAAGATGGTAGAGGTATTAATGTTATAATAAAGAAGACTAGGGTTTAAGATATTATTCAAAAAATATAATTCAGTGAGATAAGGTTAGAAAGACAAAGGTAGAAGTGCTGGCTAATCCAGAACATTAGGATTTGAGAGAGCTCAAAGAGTGGATGCACCTGCGCCATTGCAAACGATTTTGAGCCATGTCGTTCAAGGTCTCTAACCATTGATGACTTTCGTCTCGCGGACCCCAACCAGGTAGTCTACATCTACCAACATGACTCAGGAATGTATGACAGATTGATTAAGGGTGATGGACGTAGTTTTCTTGAAATTAATAGAAAGTGCTGTCACCTTAACTATCTGAAGCTTTACGTAAAGGAGAAACAGCTCTTAAAACTATATGTACTCGCTAATAGTAAATGATACAGGTTATTAAACACTACGAGGCCTAAGATTACTATTAGTTAAAAATATAACAATGATATTAAGCCAATATCATGAGGAGTACTGCAGGGTTCGAGACTATTTTCAGAAAGGACGATTTTAAGTCTTTAGTGACGTTAGGAAAACATTCTCTTATCCGGAAAATACACAACGTGGATCAGGTAGTGAACTCTTTGGGTCACAAGGCCATATTATGACAGTTACCAGTACGTATCCAGTATTTCAGACCAGTTCCACATGATTGATTCTAATGATTGTTTAATTTGACCATAATTATCTATTACATTAATCTGAACTGTTATACTTAAAACATAGCTAAACGTTTGTCTAGTAGCCTCGACAAAAACCTAATGAGCATACTGCGTTAATGATCCCCAATTTCGCTCTAAACAACTATTGGTGATTACACAACCATGGGTCTGTGTTCCTTAGGTGTAAGACACTTGCTTGCCTCCGAATGCTTCGTTAATGCCAAGTGAATAGCTTGCTCCTCTTTTCAAAATACTGATATAGTCACGTGTATACGGTCGCCGTCAAGGGAGTCCTACTCACTGCCTAGCATGGAACTGTATTTGACGTTGCTCTGTCGTTCTGCGGACTAGATCTTCACGCTAAAGGTTTGGGGAGTGGCTACAAAAGAAAACTACCTGCTTGATGCAAGTACCCAGACAGTATTCCAGCTTAAACACTGATTTGTCTCATGGATATTTGGGTGCCCCTTTATTTCGAATAACTGACTAGTTATGATTTTCAATCATATTTTGTGGACGATTCTTCTTGAATGGCTTTAAGACGCGTCCATCGGCCTATGGTACATAACCTGCACCCTAACTAGAACATACATAATTGGTAAACATCACTTGACATATTCCAACATATAAATGGTTAGGGATATGTAGCCTAATGATTAAGCACAGGACTGCTTGAAGAAAATTACCAGTGGAATGTGTTGTTTGCATTTATACGACGAAGAATACAGACTAAAATGTTCAAACTTAGCCAACCCAAGTGTATATCGCTGGCTGAGTTTCGGGTTAGGATAGCAGGATGTTTTTACTGATTAGGACCAATCGTACTAAGAAACTGAAAAAATGATTTGGGTGCGAGGCAGGTTTGTAAGCTAAGACTATGAAAACCGTGTACGTGTACTACCAAGTGCAGAGGTAGGTTCATATAGTCAGCAATGACTACATTTGATGAAACGGATATAGTAATGTCGGACTAAGAACATAAAATCAGGTTAACTTCAAACATATATGAATCAGAAACAACATAGAACAAGAAATAGTTACTGACCTCATGAGGAACCTCTTGAATTCTGTCTAAAGCTCTGATGTGGTCGAGTGTATCGATCGATGGAGATAATCCACCATGTAAACAAAATATCTGGCAATAATAATGAAGTAATTAGCTTACTGAATTGTCGACGAGTGCAGTTAGTGGGAGATAATCAAATAAGTCGGTAAAATACTTCCAAACATTTGCGTTACCATATTTGCGAAGGCACTCGTCATAAAATCCATAAACTTGAGTGATCTGACGGCTTTCATGATTACCACGAAGGATTGTTATTCGGTCTTTGAATCTAACCTGGAGGGTATGAAAACATAAAGTGATAAAACCTTCATGGCCACAAGTAAAGTGACAGTTTCGACAGAATAGTAACCACGGTCTACATAGTCGCCCATGAATAAATAGTTGGTGTTCGGAGATTGTCCTCCTATGCGAAACAATTCCATCATATCGTGGAATTGACCATGTACATCACCACAAACAGTGACCGGGCTTCGTACATTCTGAACATTTGACTCCTTTGTGAGAATATCTTTAGCCTATAGGATAAGATGACCAAAAAGATATAGGTACTTTTTCACATAGGGATTTAACTTGTGCTTCTGTTAGCTGAGTACATTCATTCAGTTGCTCGATATAGTGGTCAAGTTCCTTGGCCTCAGCTCGAAAATCACCCGCCATTAGCTCGACGAGAATACAAAGTGCCCGCTGCACACCTTGGTTTCAAACAACCGTGCATCACATTCAAAACATAAGTGTAGAACATATGCCTATCAGAACTTTATACACCTAACTTTTAATGCTGATATGTTGATTTGTCACAAACTACAGGATTTCTTAAACTTATGTTTAAACAGTGTCCAATGAGAGGAGCCTGTCTATTGTGAATTCTGCAGGTGTTTAGGGGTCCAAGTGAGTACGCTTCGTTTAGAACTGTTTGGTTCATTAAACTAACGGATAATAGGCAGAGTACTAGTTGATTTTATGGTGAAAGTATCCAACATCTTTTTCACGAGCTAGTATGAATCAATTGCTTTCTTTGCCCCCGATTCTTGTTCTTTCGGTACGATTCCAGGCATTTGATAGTTTCCGATGGATGGATGGTAGTCTAGACACTCGACCTCACTAATTCTAGTTGGTTGGCAGTTGTTTGTGAGTCTGTATACCCCATTATTTGAATGAGTACGTTTGTTTCAGGGCAGTCGGTTTCTGGATACCAGCAGTTTTCATTTTACCAAACCGGTTAGTTAGCAGCGATGTGAAGAATAATAAGGAGAAAAGTCTAATGCTAACAGAAGGTTTTAGAAGTAAGTAAATAAATGGGCACTTTAGTTTATTAACTGGTAGTGAAGATTGTGCGAGAGGATCGAAGTGTAATAGATGGAAAGGAAACAAAGATAATAAGCGAGATAGATTAGGTCAGCTATCTCAGAAAATCTCAGTATTGACAACTAGCAGTTGTCGAGACATGCATCAGGTACAGCTTGTCCAGCGTAGAACTATAATCTCAAGTTAACAGACGACAAGTTCTAAGGAATTAATTGACTCTCTTGATTAAATAAATATTCATGAGATAATAATTTATAAACCACAACCTGTTTTCATCTTTGGTGTACAGAGGTTAGGCTTCAGTTATGCCATCATCTCAACCAATTGACTTATTTTTACACCACCTATAACCACTAATCGATCGACAGTTTTCTGTGAGGAATTTTGGATCATTTTCGGACTGAAATTAGCAAAATAACTTTTAATGGACTATTAAACCTTTAATTTTCTCTTTCAGAGCTCATAATCGTTTGGTACCTAACACACTTTTTGATGTTTTTATCTGGTGCTCGTATCGGAGGGTTTTTCGATGTATACATTGTTTCCCTAAAGGGAACAGTTAAAAACTTTACTAATAATTAAATATATGAAGCTGCACAATATCTAGGTTTGACTTGTTCATCTTACTAGTCAAATGTGTGCGCTGCTGGCGGAACCATCTACGTTGGGAATTTACGGTGGATGTAGTCTCCTTTACCGTCCTGATACATTTAATGTACGATTTTACTGAAATAGTTGATATTCTAAATGAATTTAATAAGTTTACTTTTGTTAACTTTATGCTTCTAGTGTTCGGTAGTAAAGATATATTGTTTCATTTAGTTCTTTCTGCTCACTAGATATGATAATCAGCAGTAATTGCAATCCATAAAGGAACCGATAACACCCACAGATGTAGTTACGTATGAACCACTAGTGAATTGAAGAAGAACTACGTGAACACAAATGACAGCATTGTACTTCGAATTTGAATTAAGCTTTACAAACAACCATCACACCAGCTTTGTGGTCCGTTGGTTATCTAGTGTAGCGCTTATTGTTCTGGATCTATACCAAGTCAGTTTACAGCGCCGTACGAGTCCAAGAATCAGTTCATTAATATCTCAAATTCAATCTGAATTCTCTTGGACTTGTATCGTTTCCTAGCGGTTTCCATTGATTTTCTACTGTGTTTATGATGCTTTGAAATGTTTTTTTAGTTATTTTTACATAAATTAGTCATTTACTTTATCACGCTTAATAAACTATAGTTAGAATAAAGTAAATTTTTGCCTCATAAGGTAACATACAACGAAAGCATGTATTAAACATATATATTTATATACTGAGATGGCTCTCAGCGGCACCAGTGTATTGTCTCGCTTAATATTAGAGTTTTATTTCGCCCGACCACTTATTATCCATCAGCAGCTATTCCAGCCGTTTGATAGAAATATCATGCAGCAGCTTGTTCAAGGACCTTGTTATCTGGTTACTATCGTGGTTTGTCAAATATTTTAGTCGATCGGGTCAGGTAGCTAATTCAGGATGCTGAAACAGAACATTTGGAAGAAGCATTTATTGACAACCTTACGCGATAACGATATTTACAAAAAGTAGGTATCAAATGCGATGAATTAGATAATAATCGTTATATATTGCGTAGTTCAAGGTCTTGCTCACCAGTGCAGATCACCAGCGTAAGGGATCTGTGTCGATCCTTTTGTGCCTGGGTGAGTTTGACGGAAAGTGGAAGTCATGCATAGCAGTTTATGCGTAACCTGGATTATGCTATCGTGATAACCAGGTTACTGGCGAGTATAAATGCTATCGACATGCAACGACATATTTCAGTATTAACAGTTAACAGAAATGCAAGGCAAAAACACTCACACATGAGCCTGTCCGTAACATGAAATCGACCGATGTGTGTTGGCTGTTCTGCACCTTGACAAGGGTCGGATACTGCTTGGGATTCACTAACTGACTTGTTGAATGATTTGGTTAGGTCCCAGCAGCGTTTCGCTGGTCTTACACTATCTTCTTGAGGATAACTCCAAGAATTGCTAAATTTAGTCAACGCACTGTTTTAAGACTTCTCGGATTGCTGAATGTAAACATATGAAACAGTGATAATGAGTGTTTTGGTGTATCGGTGTATGCGTTGTTGAATTAGCCATAATGAACATCACCGTGGCCATTGCTTTGTTAATATTACCGCCAAACACGACGAATTTCGCACTTAGATGTTGGCTTATTAATGATCTTACGATAGACACAGTTCGGCATGATAAGTCATTGAGAACTTACGAGTCTGCTGAGTGTGAGCAGTCAGTTCTTGGTAAACCGAGATGGTCACAGCTTTCTGATCGAGAGACATTCACGATCTAGTCAAGGCACTGCCGAGAATACTGATGGTCTTGCTGCTGTGATGAGCTACATAACATTGCTAGTTGTCTTGATATTTGTTTGTGCCTGTTGCCCATCATAGAGCATTGGTCTCCGACTAGCAATCTTCAACTCATCAAAAATTAACTTGCTTAGAAATGCAAACCAGAAAATTCATTCAAATATTGCTAGTTACATGTGTTAATTTAGGTTGATTTCGGTAAAATCGGGAATACTTTCGAAGTATCTGTTGGTGACAGAGAGTGACCTCCAACCCGAAAATCAGATTCTGCAAATAATCACCTCATTTTACTTGAGTCAAAGAGTAGATTACGTTGTTGTGGTAGATCTATGCAAATGATCGACACTGATGTGTCTGCAGCATGGAAAATTCGGGTTTGCACAAGCCCAAGTTGATGTCATCATACCTTTTGACGTTGGTGGCGATCGGTTCGCCATTTACCGCTGGTGAAATAAAGACAAGGCCTTTTAGATAATTGATAGTATTTCCGAAGTGGAATCCAGCTTATCTGCCAGTGTCAACGAGATAGAGAACTTTGATCATCATGTCACTGATGTTTAACATACGGTCGCCGTCAACGCTTGCCGATGGTGATTAAAGGTTTCGGGTTTGGTGAACTGTAGATTTATATGTAATTCTCAACAGTTTCAGTAGTCTTGAGGTGAAGACATCAGTTAACGTTATTTGTTTCTCACAGTCTAGAAACTGGTTTTTTGATGACAAGACTCCTGAGAAGTTTTGTATCATCTGTGTTAATTCTGAAGGTTAAGAATACCAGTGTTTGTATCAGAGAGATCAGTGATCTTGCCCTGGGTTGGTCAACGTCTTTCTGTGATGGAACGAATCTCGATGCCGAGGGTTCTAATGATCTACAAGCTGCTGGCAGCAGCTATTGCTAGTTCATTCGACAAGTCGATTTGAGATTAATGGACAGTCGCACATATCTCTTGATAATTAGAACATTTTGAAATCCTTCATCCAGTTCTGAGTTTAATATGTTTTTTTATACGTAGCCTCTGCCGTATTACGAACACTGTCCTAACTCAATGTTATAGAATAGTTGGTTTAACCTTCTTCGGTTGGCCAGGTCTCTACATTAAAGGAGGGATCTTTTAAGTATTGTAAAGTTCAGAAACAATCATTGGCAAACATGCTAGTTATAACATATCCACATGTTAGTCACACCGTACTCAAATAATTCGGTTACTGCATAATAAAATCACAATTTTATATTATAATGGCAGTATGGCATAAGTAACAAGGCGAGAGTTGCAGGTTTGTTATTCCTCATATTTTTAAGTGTGCTCGGAAAAATTAAGAATAGGATTTATAAATGCAGAGAACACAGAAACAACAGCACACAATTCGAAAAATAGATGTAAGATATTTCGGCAACAAACTTACAGTTTATTTCTTGGTGTACCAAATCTTGTCGAGGCCCACCAATAAAGATATTACTGATCAACAGTGCTTTACACAACATTGTTTTGTGAAACGCCTCATTGTTCGAGAACTTAGAGCCAGTTAGTTCAGTAATCAAGAACAGATGAGATGAGAAATGAGCAGCACAGTGTACTTAAACGTGATCTCATACGGGTACTTGACCTAACGCTTTCAGATAGAATTGTTACATTATTGTTGGAGAATTACAACAACTATCTATTTTTAGGATTAATTTATTGTTACAATTTGTGTGTCGACCGAAGAGAGTGTAGTTTAATGATCAGTAACGCTGTATTCTCTATTCATGAAACTTCATTCTCTGGTTTAGGATATGCTTAGTTTAAGTCATACACATCGTAGACTCTTACTTCCGATGGATACTTTAGAAGTAGCGTGATAAGGGCAACTTTTTTCTATCTGGCACCATAAATATTGACGGAATATGAAACTGCAGCTATCAGAAATGACAATTTCACATTATTATTGTATGAAGCATGTACATAGAATGACTTTCATAAATTCCAAAGAATACTTATTTATCTTGACTGGACAACTATTTATCAATACCTGTATATAGTGAATGATGGCTTTCGTAGTTTGCCTATCCATAACTCCTACAAATTGGAAATTATAACTTCGACTTTCGTAAACAGTTGCTTGCTATTCCTAATGTTCTTCAACTTTACAAGTACTTCCATTGATTTGTCTACCACAGTACTCACAAATTCATCAAATCCTTCTTTGGTTTATCAATGATATTGCTCAAGTATGTGCATCTTTTCACATCTCTCTCGAAGTTTCTTCATCAATTATGATTTGGTTGATGAACTTGGTGTAGTATCTAAGAATGTTACTTACTAACCATCTTCATTTGCATTCATTACTATCTGTGTAGAATGAGAAGAGTTTTGCCTTTTTGTTTTAGTTTTATAGATCAACAGTGAATATCACAGAGAGAGAGAGAGAAAGAGAGAGAGAGAAAAGAATTGTAAACTTGTAAAATATATGTATAAACTTTCATGCAAATCTATTTGTATCATCAATAGAAAAGGAAAAAGAAAGTCGAAGTATCTACAAATGCATGCATCATCGTCATGAACTGTTCATTGTTTTTCTGCATTTTATTATTCAATAACATGCAAACATACATTTTTTTCTTCAATAGAAAATTGTTTTTCCTTAAATGAAATTATTAATCATGATGATGATTATTGGTAAAATAAATAAACCATACAGTAAAAAAGGAAGAGAGAGAGTCAGTAAGTTTGTGTCAGCTAAAAATGAAATTGAATTTCGAACCTCTATTTTTCCACGGCATTACTGATGATAATGATAATTTATTGATGAAATAATGAATAAAGTTTTTTGTCGCGTTAAACGATGAAATAAATTTCAATTACTTTTTTCAAAATTATCATCTAAAAATTTAATCGGTATGTGGTGCGCGCTACTTATAAGTAGTATATGACGCGAGTGTAAACGTAATGTCTGACAGCATAAGATGGGGAAGATCTAGAAAGGGAGAGTTGGAACACAATGGAATTTGTATGAAACACATGAACAGTGACATTGGATTGATGTTTTGCAACAGGAACAGTCCAGTTCGATATGATGAACTGATATTTTGCAAATGAACGATTTACGATATGGTTTTTCTATTTTACACATTAACTCTGTAATTTGAGATAAGTACAATTCGGTTGCCCTCACCTGAGTTCTCCTTCACTACGGGTATATAAATATATATTGCATGATTTTTCTGGAAATAACTACACTGTTCACGAATCACTTTGTAATTCTCTATCCACCGAGACGATTCTCGTAAAACCATCCTTTAAAACTGTAAAATCTCTTCCATAATCTGCATTATCTTTGTGTGTGTGTGTGTGCCGTCCAATCTGTCATATGCGGCCTTCGCTCTACCTCGCAGCAGCGTCCCCAGCATCGCCAACTCCGCCATCGGCTCCTTCACACCCACCAGCTCCGCCACGGCCTCAAACTCCTTTGGCCATGGAATCTTCATCCTTTGTGTAGGCACCAAATGTAGTGAAGGAGAACACAGGTGAGGGCAACCGAATTGTATTTATCGAAAATTACAGAGTTACTCAGTAAAATAGGAAAACCATATCGTAAGCGGTTCATTTGCAAATCTTCAAACCATCATCAATCCGTTGTCTGACATTTCACTATTCATGCATTTCATACAAATTCCATTGTGTTCCCCCACTCTTCCTTTCTTGATCTTCCCCCATCTTCTGCTGCCAGACATTATGTTTTTACTCGCGTCATATACTACTTATAAGCTTTCTTCCAACCTATTCCTAAACTACAAAACATAGCTCGACGAGGCAGTCGGTGGTTAGGTATACACAGCACATGTCCCAACCACCTCAACTGATGAAGTTTCGATACTTCATCCATTGATTTTCCATCCTTACCTAGTACCTGTTTCCTAATAACAGCGTGACTCACTCGGGTGTCCCACGATATACGAGCAATGCTTCGGAGGCATCGATGATCGAAAACCAGTAACCTACGAATATCTTCTACTCTCACTGGCCATGTTTCACAGCCATAAAGTAAGATGGAACGAACTACTACTGCACAGTACACTCATCCTTTAGTCAGCAAACAGATATCTCGCCTACGCCATAAGTGACGTACAAGTTGGCAAAAGCCAATCGACCCAATTACAATTAGATGTAAGTTACAATGACAGCAGATTAGATCAAGAACGCTGACTGATGAAGCTACAGTCGAGCATACAGAAAGAAAATAAGACCAGACAAACAAACAAAAAAGCATTCACCTTGTTCTAAACGTGACATTGTAAAATCAATTAAATGAACAACGATACCGAATTTCGAAATATTCCATTCTTTTCCATCTAAACGAAATGTCACATAAGATTGTTGTTCATGCTGTTTATTGCATAGCGTAGAACAATATAAACAGGCATCATTTAGTGAAGAAGAAGCAGCAGTAGTAGATTGATTGATTAAAACATTGCCCCAATGTAAATCTCTATGTTCAAATTTCAATTCTAATTCAGCAACAGCTAATGACAGACCAATTTGATAAACGTGCACATGGACAAGTTGGCTAATGGAAAAATCAATAATAATAATAATAGTAACAATAATGAATGATCGGTATTAGTGTGGTTGGTGCGCGCTACTTATAAGTAGTATATGACAATCAGTGATACTGATTGTAGTGAATAAGTTATCCTGTCTATGATTAGTTTTCATTATAATTTCATCACAGTTCATTAGGGAAGAATTAATTTGATTTTTAGAAGATAATTTTTTTTAAAAATAAGTAATTGATACACAAACCTTATTCATTTATTCATCAATAAATTATCATTATCAATAATGCCGTGGAAAAATAGAGGTTCGAAATTCAATTTCATTTTTAGCTGACACAAACTTACTGACTCTCTCTCTTCCTTTTTTACTGTATGGTTTATTTATTTTACCAATAATCATCATCATCATCATTAATAATTTCATTTAAGGAAAAACAATTTTCTATTGGAGAAAAAAAAAGTATGTTTGCATGTTATATTGAATAATAAAATGCAGAAAAACAATGAACAGTTCATGACGATGATGCATGCATTTGTAGATACTTCGTCTTTCTTTTTTCTTTTCTATTGATGATACAAATGGGTTTGCATGAAATTCATACATATATTTTACAAGTTTACAATTCTTTTCTTCTCATTCTATACAGATAGCAATAAATGCAAATGAAGATGGTTAGTAAGTAACATTTTTAAATATAACTCCAAGTTCATCAACCAAATCATAATTGATGAAGAAACTTCGAGAGATATGTGAAAAGATGCACATACTTGAGCAGCAGCATTAATAAATCAAAGAAGGATTTGATGAAGTTGTCAGTACTGTGGTTGACAAATCATGAGGAGAATAACAGGAATTTCAAGCAACTGATGACGAAAATTGAAGTCAGCAGTTTCAATTGAAACATCAAAATAGTTCTATTTGTAGGGATCTAGGGATCGGCAAACTACGAAAGCCATCATCCATAAGATATGGCTCAAAATCGTCTGCAGTGGCGCAGGTAAAAACACTCATTGTGTTCGCTCAAGTTCTAACCGCCTGAATTCCTCATATTTCTGTTTCTAATGTTATCTGACTGAATATTATACTTCTTGAATCATATCTTCGAAGCCTAATCTTTTTCCTTACTGTTATTACCTCTACTATCTGTACCACTGTGGGATCTGAACTGACAGTTGCGTCTCTTTGTTGATGGAGTATGACAACCTGAACTTATGTACTCATGTACGAAGTTCCATGTCGTCAATGTCTGATTGCCTGTCTTTTTAGATAAGTTGTATTTCTCGATTATTTGCAATGACGATTGAAGAGGATCAATTGTTTTTTTCTCAAGGATTCTTTTACCATACTGATCAGCGTATAGAGGACTAGTCACTAGAATGTATCCGCATCTAACCGTTGATATTCACATTGAAACGTGAAGCTAGGGGGGTTGGGATGATTTCAAAAATTAAACACACAATGTGCATTAAGCTGCTGACTAACGAATTCCAGCAACCGTGGGATGATTTCAAAAATTAAACACACTATGTGCATTAAGCTACTGACTAACGAATTCCAGCAACCTTTTTGATGATTTTGTTATCGTTTGTCCAAGTTAGTATTGTCTCGTTGTAGACATTTAGGATTGAATTACAGCGATTTATGCACCTGAAATCAATGCCACTAATGAAGTGTAAAATATTCCGACTGTCAAAGTGACAAATGATTACATATATATTCTAGTTTAAATTTGGATCGCAATACTGATAAGTCCCCGGAGAAGACGAAACATCCATACTACAAGTTTCTACTTACTGTTTTTGAAAATTGATTTTACTTATTATGGTTCTTGTGTGTCATGAACATAAGAGTTTTCCAAAGAATAAGTTATTGGTATAGGGAGTTGTGATTGAAGACTTCTGCAAAGTTTTATATCAGGACTAAAAAGTTATCGAATACTTCCTGATTGAAGGGTCATGGTTGCTTACACATAATATAAAATTAAAAATAACGTGTCTGTATCACATAATATATCAGAAATTTTTTGATTCTCTATTTCGTCAATATAGATTAGATCACTTTTTTGTAGAGATCATAGAAGATATTGAATGCAGGGTTAAAATTTCGTCTCATTTCCTCAAATCTGTTAAACTTACTATAAGTGTTAGGTGTTTGGAGGTCCCCGGCAGAAAAGCCAGCTTGATCTACATTTCGTGCTACTTGGTATTCGTCAGACAACTGAATGAAACTAACACCACATGAATTCGTAAACTCATATGTTACCACTGAGCTACTCAGGAAGAAAACAACCTCCTGTGGTGTTGAGTTAGTTACAATTACTGTAGTGATAAGTGATTGGTGTTATGTTTGTCTAATCTTTAGTGAGGATTGAATTAAATCAGTCGAAATACAGTATGACCAATTGCCAAATGATCTTCGGTGGGAAGTAAGTAGATTGGTACTTCAAACTAATCAATTAGGTGCTACTTTATACCTAAGGAAAATGAGGCTTCTTATAAGACTGGAATTCAATGTTTTAAACTTTACCTCCATTGATTAATTTATCCTTCAGTGAAATACAGGAACTTGTCTATCAACTGATGAGGTAAATAAGCCATGAAAAACGATGCATTTCTCAAACTTTCTATCATAACTAGTTAAAAAGAGTAGATGTTTTGAGTGATCACATCCAAATGAAGCTCCATAAAACTTGGTTTCCGAATCACATATTCTAAACGACATTCTAAAAACATGTTTGAACCCTCACTGTTAATTAAAGCAATTCATAAACCTTTAACTTTCTTAGGTCTTCTAACTAGCTTGTATGTGAATCAACAAACTGTATACCGGTTATATTGTAAACTTATAATGTTCCTACTATCTGAAGCTTGTTGAAAAAGGTTTATGAAGCACTTATAATGACTGGAACAAACCTACAGAATACAGAAATGCTAAAAAAAACTGAATAACTTTTAGAAGTAGCATTAAGAACCTATTATTAATGATAAAGATAGGAAAAAGTAAGTGAAGGATTGACCATGCGGCTCGTGCAGAGTTGAAATTCGAAGAGTAAATTCCGAGTTGGTATTCCACTATATTGCAAACTTAGCTGATGCTTTCAGGATGTAAGTATTTGTATCATTTTCGTCATAGATAATGAAAATATCCCTCATCTAGAGTTATAAATCAAAAGTGTTGATTACTCAGAACAGTACAGTATTCTTCAAATTTGTTATAAAATAAGTAAGTAAAACAAAGGTTAGTAAGACAGCCAACTATTAAACATCATTTTGTCTATAGAACTGGTTATGATATAGAATCAATAACTTACAAGGACGCTGTGAATCGGCAAACACCGCTATAAATGATGTCAGTCACGCAAATAAAGTGTTAGATTACTAGAGGATAAAATCATTTAGACAAAAACTTCAAATGATATCAATTTATGCTGAAAAAAAATTGGTAACTAAATAATCCTATAAATTATCAATGAAATATTCAAAAATATTTTCAAGTTTACATAAACAAAATTTAAAATAATTGACCATTTATCATTTGTTTAAAATGGAAAAGTTTGAGTAAAAATAAATAAGATTAATTATTCAATATCGGTTAACAAAATTCAAATACAACCACACCCGCACACACACAAATAGAATAATATCTTCGTTTACACAAGTGAAAACTAATCAATAATGTCAGTCAGTCAATCAGTCAGTCAGTAGAACAACGTAGAACTTTATATGTATGTACATCAGTTCAAGATGTCATACCACATTAGCACAGAAAGATTCAAATATCAATTCAAATCCCACAGTCAGTAGAGGTAGTGAAACTGTTCGCAGTAATCAGAGAGATTAGGATTCGAAGATATGATTCAAGAAGTATAATCTAGTGAAATAAACTTAACAAGAGAAAGATAAAAGTGATGAAGAATTCAGAGGATTAGGAGAGAACATAAAGAATGAATGCACCTGTGCCATTGCAAACGATTTTGAGCCATGTCATTCAGGGTCTCTAACCATCGATTTTTATCATCTCGAGGGCAGTCGAGGGTAGTAGACAAATCCCAACATCGCTCAGTCCAGCTGTCAGTGACTTCGTGGATTTCTGCCATGTTTTGGTTTGGCCGCCCCTAACTTTCTTCCAACCTAACCCTAGGTCGCGAAACATAGATCAACGAGGCAGTCAGCGGTTAGGCATACGTAATACGTCCCAACCACCTCAACTGAAGTTCCAACACTTCGTCTATTGATATGCCATCCTTACCTAGCACCCTGTTAGGATATTCATTCAATATCCTAAGAAAATTATTGGTAAATTCCTATTGGTTAATTCCTACTGATCAATTTTATGGTCGTCCTAGATATCAATGTCACGTGCTCCAATGTTGTTTCTTATTGGTTGTCCTGACTATCAATGTCACTCCAAATGTTGCTTCCTATTGGTCGTCTTAACTGTCAATATCACAGACTTCGATGTTGTTTCCTATTCAACCAAAATGTATAAATACGCCTTATCTGTAACATTTTATGACTACTACCAGGACCAGGGCTCAGTCCCGGATCCCTAGTCCGGGACCCAGATTCTCTTCTGGACTCGGACCTCGTACTTTTGAATGCTTATAGAATACAGGTTCTACTTCATATCAAATCTTGTCTTCTTTTACTCAATCTGGAGGTTTGGGTAATCGGATTGGGATAATTGTATTTGAGTAGTATGTCGTGTCACCGGATCCTCGATCCTCGTTCTCGTTTTCCGACTAGGTAAACTCGTAATAGTTCAAATATATCAAGTTGACGTGTTTACGTGCAGGCGTAACACACCCATTTCCTAACAACAGCATTACTTACTCGGTTGTCGTTCAAAGGAGAAGGACAAAGGTGGCGAAGAATTCAGAGGATTAGGATGTGAGAGAACACAAACAATCGATGCACGTACGCCATTCCGAACGATACATTAATGGGAGGTTACTATTGTTTGTTTACTGCTTGTTTCCACAAAAAAAACAAAACAATTCATCACATTTAA